CTCTGAGGCATCCAGCTTTTGGAGGATAAGATGGTTCCCCTAAAATGACTGCTAGCTGTGCTTTCATGTGGCAGTGGGAATGGACTCAGATCATAGCAAGAGCCAAAGATGGACAAGAGAGCAGACTGTCCGGCCGACCCGCTCAGACAGGAAAACAGTTTGTTCTGTTAGACTTCTCCACACTTCAGTTAGATCAGCAAGATCTCCAAAACAAGATAGCTTCCAAAAACAAGACAACTTAGGGCACGATTCGAAGAAATCAGTAATGCTGAGAGCAGATCACTGATTGCTGAGCCGGTCAGGGTAAGTTCTATGGGCCTTCGCGGAAAGAAAACGGCAGAAAGGCCCAGGGCTTCCTTCCAGAAAGCTTGATTTCTGGACAATATTATAAGCCCAGTTTTATGTACCAGGAGAAACAGAAGCTACAATCTGAAGAGAGTTAATAAGGAGTAATAATTAGTAGCTAAAAAGCCAACATAGGGAAGCAGTTTATAAGGGTACAGTGTCTAGAACACCTCATACCTGGATTTTATTCCCTGTTAACTCTAGCCCTCACTAAATTACCATTAGTATGTGACATGCTCTCTGGGCCTCATGTACTCACTTGCAAGGTATGATCATGATAAATAAAGGTTATTGCTAAGAGCCATATAAGCATGAAGCTGAATGCCCAGGGCATGCGAGGTGCTCAATAATTGTCCACAAAAATTAACTGATTCTGAATAAACAATGTTCTTTGCAACATTACTCCAAAGACTCAGTAAATATCCAGTGATTTGTGTGGCTTCTGTTGGCTAGTTTGACAAACAATTAGAGTTGTCTCAAAGTTGCTTTTCTCCAATCCTGGGAAAATTGCTTTTTACCTAACATTATAAGTGATGTACAGAAATTTTTACTTTTCAAAATATTGTCACACTATTCACATATTAATGGCTAAAAGATAGTATAGCCACTTTTCTGTGCTTTCATGTCCCAGCAATCTCCCTCTTAGGTAGGTAGCCAAAAGAAATGAAAACTAGAGTTCACACAAAAACCTGCATGCAAATGTTTATAGCAGTCCTACTCATAATTGTCAAAAACTGCAAAGAACCCAAATATCCTTCAGCTGGGGAACAGGTAACCAGAATGTAGTGCATCCAGCAACAGAATGCTACCCAGTGATAAGAAGAGTAACATATGCAGCTACTTGGGTGAATCCCAAATGCAAAGAGAAGGAAACTAGACCCAAAAGGCTACACACTATATGATATCACCTCTGTGATGTTTGGGAAGCAATAAATTGTAGGTCAGTGATGGTTTTCAGGGGCTGGAAGTGGGGGTGGAAGAGAGGGGCACAGGAGAAGTTTGTCGGATGATGGAGCTGTTTTGGTATCTTAGTTGTGGTGCTAGCTGCATGACCACATGTGTTTGTCAAAACTGGCAGAAATGTCCTTTAGTAACTCATACCTCAATTCAAGGAGCACCAGAGCAAGGTATCTCTGCTACATGGGTAATCTCATTCTGTCTCCATTGTTCCATCACTTATGGCAGGTTTTGTCTAACTTGCTCAGGGTAGGTGAGTAGCCATGGGGAGGTGAGTCTTGTAGAGGGAAGTGGAACTCCAGCTGAAGTTTCTTGGCTCCTCCTCCAAGCTACATTTACTGTCCACCTACATTGTTGAGCTACTCCAAGACTGTAATCCCTGCGTTACTTTCTCCCTTTTCTGTAGTGACTTCCAAACTGCCTCTCAAAAGACACTTTCCTTTGAAAAAAATCATAATGAAGTCTCTGATTGAATTATTTTTTTCTCCTTTCCCTATGTTCTTTCTTTAATTTTTTTTTAGGGTGAGCATTTTTTAAAAGTTTTAAATCCAAGAGCATATATATGTGTGTGTGTGTGTGTGTGTGTGTGTGTGTGTGTGTGTGATATACATACACACATGCACATATATGTATTAGTACACTTGGTAAGCTATTTGAAATAAAAGTTATTATCCCATCCCACTTCAAATATTTATATTAAAGATAGATGATTTTTGTTTCTTTGTAAATGGAACTTTAATTATGGTAGAACATATGTGTGCAATATTACTCTGTTACATAATAATTTCTCCTACATTAAAATATAAAATCTATTGGCTATAGGCAGCAGACAAAGTGATCAATGGAACAACTTCCAACAACAAACTTCCATTGTCTATAAAGAAAATAACTCTGGTGCTATGGAATAAAACGCCTCTGCTGGCTTTTCCTTACAAAAGCTACAAACAAATGCCTTTGGTTTTCTGACAAAGGAGACAGATTAGTTCAAGGACTGTGAGTAAGATATAAACTAAACACAGATTGGCCCTTGACATAATCTCCTCCTCTCCACCCTGACCCCTAAATCCTCAGAAGTGTTGAAACACATTTTGAGAAGAATTCAGAGCGGGGACTGCCTCGCCATACCCACTGTAGAGGGGGACCCAAACAGGTAGCCCTTATTTTTTCCATCAACCCCAGGACATTTATGTCAGATGGGGAAACTCTACTCAGCACCCTGGCAAAGGAAACATCATCTTTATGATTTTTTCCCCACCTACTTCTGAGAGAGAATAATATTTATCCATACAGTCTGTAAAGAGATAAACGATTGTAAGGTTCATTCCCACAGCACTTATTGTGTACCCACCATGTGCCAGCCACCGCTATACTGGGTGCCAGGAATTATGACTAGAAGCAAAATGGAATGGTCCCTGATCAATAGTGCTTAAGTGCTAATAGCACGATAATCCATAAATTGGTAAACAAACACTAAATACAAACAGATGGTGACTGTGTTAGGCCATACATGCTACTATACCAAAATACTGCTCTGTGGGCTTATAAACAATAGAAATGTATTACCGTTGCCGTGGTAGCTGAATGTCCGGTATGAAGACACCAGTGTGGTTGCCTTCTGGTAAGAGCCTGCTTCCTGGCTGGTAGTCACCGGCTTCTCACTGTGCCTGCACATGGTAGAAGGGTAATAAATCTCTCTGGAGTTTCATTCATGAGACATACCAAACATCACAGGTCAGCCTAGCCAAACTTAAATGTGCTCAGAAGACCAACATTAGCCTCCAGCTGGGCAAAATCATCTAATGCAAAGCCTGTTTTATAACAAAGTGTTGAATAGCTCATGCAATTTATTGAATATTTTACTGAATTCTGTGAAAAACAGGATGCCCTAATTCAAAATTCATGAATATTGCTTCCATACCAGGAGAAAGCAAGAATAAGTGACATAGGAAAAGGTAGTACTAAGATTGTGGCTGGAGAAGTTTGCTGTTTAGGAAAGATAAGGACAGACTGTGAGAGCAGTTGTTTTACTAACCCAACTATTTTGGTGAGAATGACACTGCACATAGAAAAGACAAAGAATTGGAAATCCTACCTCCCAGAGACAAATGCTATTAACATTTTTGCTGAGTATCTTTCTACACATTTCTCTCTACATACACACACACACACACACACACATAGATGTTTGATTTTATATGAATGAACCATACTCCAAGTACTATTATCAAACCTATCTATTTACTTACTATACAGTTCACTGGCTCCCCCCAAAACTACCTTTTCTTACAGCCCATCAGCTTTTACAATGGTCTTATGTATATCTCCCCCTACATAATATGAAAGGAAACTTAGAAGACAAAGCCTGCAAAATATAAGGAATTCATTAGGGTTGAATCATTGAATAAGAGATGCAAGAGTTATTTAAAGGAACTAATATAAAGGAGAGATTACCAGGCTTATATTGATGTCTTCAGCATGCATAGTATTTTTCTGTGAAGAAATGTCCCAAAATTTGGGACAGACAACCAGATTTCTGCTTTCAAAAGTCAGGAGTAAAATGGTGTCTGTTAGGGAGTCAGTAATTTACGGGAGAAAGCTCAAGATTTCATTCATTTTGAAGGTCAGATGTAAAAGAGTAACTCAGTCATTTTGTCTGCCTCCGGATTGAAAGTTTTGTTATTGCTTTGCTTTTTTCTTCCCTGTACCCCCTTAAAGTGATGGCAGGGCAGTCTCATTTGTGCTTCCATAGATGAGCTTCATGAAGGCAGCGACTCACTAGAGTCTTACACATTATGATATACCCGTGCTGGCATGTTAGATGTTCAGTAGGTACTGATGAAGTGAATGTGATCACATCTCGTTTTGATCCTTTTTACGATATTTATTTACGGCACTCCTTACTGGAGCACTCCCTAATCTGTCTGGACTCAACAAATCCAAAAGGGTTTTTCTTCCACGTGTACACAGTTGTGGAGGGTCAGGTGTCTGTAAACGTACAGACTCACAGAGGTCACTCAGGGATACCGGGAACAATACATTCTCAAGGCTGGGAGAGGTCTCTCAGCGATGTAGGTCATCCCGCTTGTCCTGTAATTCTACTTAGCGCCCGCCATTGACACCTCCCCACCGCCAGATCTCACTGGTCCCTGGGAGAATCCCAAGCCGCGCCCCCTAGCCCTCGGCAGCAGCAGGATCCACACACTACCCCCACCCCCAAGTAGACTAGTTACGCCCCAGGGCGCTCAGACATCAACAAGTCAAAGTAAAACCAGTCGCACCTAGGAGAGGCAGCGTTATTTAGGCAGCCCGCTACTCCCCAAAGGGCTCCGCCCAGACCCCTGGGCCTGGCGCCCAGTGTTCAGACGGCGCCCGGCTCCCGGAGCCCCAGCTCCCTCCACGTGTCCTATCTTCCCAGCAGCCTCTTCTACTGCCTCTGGAGGAAAATCTCCTGACAACTCGCGGTCTGCGGACTACGACTCCCAGTAGGCATCGCGCAGCCTCTCGCTCCGCCCCACAGCGGATACGCATGCGCTCTGAACTTCGTCAACAAGCAGGGCTGGCGTCCAAAGAATGCAGTTCCTTATGGGGTTTGTAGTTTTACTGGCGTTAGCTGGGTCGTCAGTCGAGGGTATAAGAACTACAAGTCTCAGCCACCCCAGCGTGACGAGCAGGTCACGTGGCAGGGGACTGATCGGGCGTGCGTGCCGCCGTTGATCCGGTGCTGCAGTGAGGAGGTGGTTCTCGCCCGTGTTGTGTGTGTGTGTGTGTGAGTGAGAGAGCGAGTGAGTGAGTGAGTGAGTGAGTGTGTGTGTGTGGGGACTCAGCTTGTTGTTGTCGGTGATTTCCCCCTCCCCTCACCCCTCCCCCTTCCCCGTCGCCGCTGCAGTGGCCGCTCCCTGGGCCGTAGGAAATGAGCGATAACGATGACATCGAGGTGGAGAGCGACGTGAGTCCCGGGATTCTTCCTTCCCGTGCGGGTTGTCAGGCGGGGACAGCGGCCGGGGATCTCAGCGGGGCGACGGCGGGAGGGGGGCCGGGCAGCCGCAGCCGCCTTCCCCTTCCCCCCGGGCCGGGACCGCCTCCATCGCGCTCCGGGCTCGCTCCCCTCGGAGTTCCTGGCTGGAGCGGCCTTCTGGACTGGTGGTGGGGAGGAGACACGCGGCCTCTGGGACCCCCCCCCCCGCGCCTCCCCTCCGGGGAGGAGGGTTCTGCGGCCTCCTGTTCCCACCCCATCCTGCTCAGAATCCGGGGGACAGAGAAGGGGTGCTCTCGGCATCCCATTGTCCGGATCCCGGGGAAGGGGACGGCGCTCAGGACATGCCCCCCTGGTGTGCGACCTTCCTCCTCCCGTGACCCGCGGATCCTGGGGGTGAGGGAGGGCTGAGAGCTTGGGAGTGACCTATGCCCCGAGCTGGTTTCGAGGTGAGGGAGAGTGCTCCGGACCCCACCGGCCCGGCTCGGATCCCGGAAGGAGGGGGCGGCGCTCCGGACCCCCCTGCCCCGCTACCGGATCCCGCTGAGGGGGATGGGGGTGGTGGGGTGGGGAGGGAGAGAGGGAGGTAGGGCTGACTCCCCACCCGCCGCTTCCTCCGCCGCCGGCATTTTCTTTCTTATTAATGAATGTGAAGTGTAAAAATAACTTCTATATTTTCTATTTTTTTTCTCTCTTATTCCAGGAAGAGCAACCGAGGTTTCAATCTGCGGTACGTCTCCTACTCTCCATTTCATTTTTCATTTCCGTTCAGTTCTAGTCCTTTTTGGGGTCAGAAAGAAAGAAATCGTTCTGTTATTTTTAATATTGTAGTAAACTCTTCTGTTAACCACCAAGGTGAGGTGGGGCCTTGTTGTGGGGTTCTAGGGGTGGGGGCGGGTTTAGAAATCTCATAATTCTAGATTCTCAGGTGATAAATTCGAGTTACTGTAGGTGAGAGTAGCCGTGTGCCAATAAATGAATTCTATTATATTCTGATGGGGACCTAGCTGTTGCTATGTAAGTGGGAAATGAGAAATACATCATTCTGAAATAAATTGTAGCATTATTTCTGGGGCAGAGTGGTCAGAGAATTTACTTAGGAACAAGTAGGTTCTAAGTCACATCTGCATAGTTCTGCAGAGTTGAAGTCAACATTCAGTAAATACCTTTAACTAAAAATCACGTGACTTCTGTAGCGCTGTAGTGTTTAGTATGACATGGTATTCTAAAGCAGAAATTGGGAAGGTAGAGAAGCCAAAGATTGAATATGCAAGTGTTATATTTGGCTTATTGTAATGTAACTATATTTGAGTTAAAGAAGAGGAATAAAGAAAATAGAAAATTTGTTGAAGTGGAATTGTAGGCAGGTTTGCTAAAGGTGATGGATGAGACTGTACAGTGTTAGCAATTATTTCTCAGGGCGTTCATATCAATGTTCTTTGTAGATGGTTCTGTGGACTTGGTTATGACATGAGATGCTAGTGTCTTTGGATTGAGGACTGTTGGGTGTTCTTGCAAATAGATAAGAGAAAAAAATAAGACATAAAATGAATCAGAATCACAGAGAATTATATCAGAGTGTCCAATATTTGACAGATGGATACAGCATGCGATACACAGAATGGTGACCAAAAACTTAAGATTAGAGGGTGTGGAGGGGGTGTGGAGAGGACTGAGCTACTAGAGAGAGCATGTCTCTTAAAACAGTAGCCACTGATCTCCAATGACTTGCTGGGAGTGAGGGTTCAGATCTTCCTAATTTTTAAAAAAGATTTGAAATCCTTGTTTGTTGTTTCCCCCAGATTTTTAAAAAGGTGTATTATGGGACAATCTTTGGTACCTCTCAGGCGTAGGAGTTTAACTACTAACGAATAAAAGCGAGCCATCTTATTTACACCATATTTATGGATATTTCCATAAAATCTTAGGATGCAGCTGTTACAGGGGTTTTAAATATTATCCCTATGTAACAGTCACTAAAAAACTTTGCTTTTATTTCTCCTGGAAGTATTCCTCATACTTTGTGTGTGTATACATACATTACCTGAAAATCAGTTCAATTTTTTTTTTCCAGTTACCATCATCCTTAATATAAACATTGAATTTCACTTTTAAGACCCAGTCTATTTAAAACTTGTTTTTCTCTCCAAGTTTCCAGTTATAAGATCTATCCCAGTTCTTGATCAGGCTTGGGAGATAGGGATTGGCTAGAATTCCATTGCAAAATCATTATTTAAGTTGGAATTATGTTGGCTTTCCAGTGAGAGAAAAGTTTTCTTCACAGAATTTTGGCTCAGATTTTGAAAGCATTGTGGTTTTCAACGTATCCATCCAGATGGGTGTTGATGTAAACTGGTTTGTTAAATTATTTAAATGTTCCCACTCTCTTAGAATGCTAATTCATTGTTTTATCTAGATATTTTTAGTTTGACATTAAGGTGCCTAGGATTTTTCCTGTTGATTTTGCAGGATGGGTAAAGGGAGGAGGAATGGGTTTTACCCTTTGTTTTTAATTTAACACATCTATTTGCTGAGACACTTAAATATACGGCTCAAGATAATCACAACAGCAAAGAGAAAAGGCAGGTGTGATAGAGATAAACTTTATAGTATATCAAACCATTATTGTGAACATGTAAGATAAAAAGAATTTTGGGTTATTTTTCCTTGAATACATATTTGCTTCCTGACATTTAGTATATATAATATCTTTTAAATTTGAGGGGGAGCTATTCTTTACTTTGTTTTACTTCAGAAACTCTTGTGGACTGTGAATAACCAAATATTTGGGATGATAAACTTTTAAAAAGTTATCCTGATGTAAAAAGACATTCACATTTTACAGTGTCACTGCGATCACCCCAGCCTACTACACAGAGAAGGAAGCTATTCTGTAAGAAAAAATAGGAAGTGAGGCTAACTAACAGAAAGTGAAACTGATTTGACAAATATTTTTTTTTCTGTTGTCTCAGTTCAGACAGAAAATAACTTCTTCATTGACCAATAAGCTTTTTTAAAGATTTTTTTATTTAACCCCAAGCAGTATTTTTATTAATAAATTTAGTATGGCTCGGATTCCTATTGATGTTATCTTAATTTTATTATTTTTGGAGGGAAAAGTTGCATTTAAAGGTTTTCTAGGACAGGTATGTGTCATGCATATTCCTGTTTGTGAAATTCCTGCTTGTAAATTCCTTTTGGGAAGAATATAAGCATATAAGAAATGAAGGGTTATTGTGTTGGTCAGAAAAGCCAACACCTTTTTCGATTTATCCTTCATGAAACCGAACATGTTACAGTTACGTTTTATTCATAAATAGATTTAAAAACAGATTTATACATTTCTACATTTCTTAGACCTTTCTATTATAAAGATTTTTAGCTTACAGTTCTTTGCTTCTTTAAGAATTGCATTGTATTCAAAGGGGAATGACTTGATTACCTTTAAGATTGGGATTTATTCAAGAAACTACTTCCGGTTTACCTGAAGTTGATTATGTGCAAAAGTGCTGCACGCTGTGTATACTTTGTGTCTGCTAATATATTGATAGTGACCATAGGTAGTTCTTAAATGTACCTGATTGTTTAAGGAGTGTTATATACATACACACATTAAAATTTGTTTATGTATCTAGAACTGGGGTACAGGCCAGAGTTGTGGGGGTGAGAGGATTCACTAGAGACAAGAGTGGAGAGCACATTGATGAAGTACACTGTTGAGGGAGCAGTGTGTGAGACAGGAGAGGTCTGCTGCTCCATGTGGGTCAGCTCCCAGGCTGGGGATGAAACTCAAAATGCAGTGGCTGCTGTGTAGAGCTATGCTTTAACCCATTGCACCACCAGGGAGGGCCCAGGAATGTTTTTATATTTAAAGTCTTTTTTTTTTTTAAAGAGAGCAGTAATGGGAAAGTAGTTAATCAGGAAATCCAACTTGGTTTTCAATTAAAATTTTCTGATCACAGCATCCTTAGTATGGTAGCATATTTAGATAATATAATTCCCAAGTATTTTCAGATATCAAATGGTTATTTTTTAACTTCAAAAACATCCGTGTTAGGTGTTAGAAATGTATAGCAGACAATCATTTCAAGACAGGTGTTGGGAAGTTGAAATTCATCTCCCTTTGTTAAGGACTTTTGTGACCATTATTTCATGTTGCAATTTTCATATTGAAATTATGATAAATAACAGTTTTTTTCTGTCTGTTTTTAATCTATTGAAGTAATAAATTACTTCTGATGAGAATTTTGAGCTTATGCAGTTCCAAAGTTAATATTTAATAAAAATAGCTTATTAATGATAATCAGTAATATTTTCACTATAAAATGCAGCCTTTAAATTTCTTAAAAACTTAAGTGTTTTTAACTTCAATTCCCAATATATTGAGAATTTTCTTTATTGGAAATAAAATGAGTATCCTTATAGATGGTATTAGGTAACTTGTAAGAAATAACAGTGTTCTAGAGAGTCTTACACATCCTTGGATAATGGAACATTTATTTCCCCATGCCATTTGCCTAAACTAGAACTTAGTGGAAATAAGCCTGTTGGCTGTTGGAATGTTTTGAAAGAAGATGCATAATCTGTGCAGTAAATTGGAAGGAAATAATTCATAGAGATTCACCTCAAATTTGAACAGCCCTCCTTAACTTGAATGACCTCCTGCTAGTTGAGCAACTTTTTGGTTAACAAAAAAAAGTTTGCTTTCAGCATTTAGCAAGATATTCAAACTTGCTTGCTAGTGTAGAGATTGACAAATTATACATGAAGATTTTTATTCTGGCTGCCAGTATGGAAAATTTGGTGGAAATGAATTGAGAAGCAGAATAAAATGGCAGAGATATCAAAGCTGGAAGTGATTTGGTGCTAATGTTCCTTTCTGTTGAGCATCTTTGGGCCACTCATCAGTATCACACAGTCCTTAAGTATTTCTATTAGTCTGTGTTAAGATGCAGAAACCATAAATCCAGTGTACTTGAAGGGCAGCAGCCTTCAGCCACTGCTCCTATGGGATAAATGGGGACCTACCTGGGGGCTTGCTGTGCAATTCAATAATACTTCTATTGTCTCCTAGAATTGTGTCTGATTAATTCTGCAAGGGTACTTTTGAAGACCCTCCTCCCCCCATTTTCATAATCATTTTCTCAGCATAGGTGAGAAAAGGCTAGTTTGGGTGATTTAAGCCCTTTTTTTAAAAACTAGTTTTGACTCTGGAAAGACTTTGGGTGCCTTACATTGGGAGGCTTCACCTAATTTTCATTCACAACTCTGAAATCTTGGCCCTTTCAAAAGGGTTGCCAGTAAGGAAGACTGTTAAAAAGATGGTGATAAACTTGGCAGGTAGGCCCACCCCCCACTTTGGATGAAGGAGGTTGGGGGTGGAAGCAGTGCTGGATGGATCTGTGGCTTGGAAATGTTTCCCAAACAGAATTCTAAGTCTTGTGTAAAGTTTTTTCATATGTTCTTTTTTTCAGGTCAGCTAGAGGTATCATTTATTTTTGAGTTGCCTGAAATTAGACATGTTCGTTTTACATATTTTTAACTTGCTCTTTTAAATAAGGCTTGAGAAAGAGAAAAAATGCATTATTGCCATTGTCCCTGAGAGCTTTAAAATTGACTCTGGTTAAGCATAGCAGCTTGCAGATGAGCATGGCAGTAGGGATTGGTCTAAGATTCCATTCTTATCCTGGCTAAATAGCGCCTGGAACCACCACAGAAATTCCATCTACTACTTTGAGAACAACAGTTCCCACTCCAGGCTTTCTACCAGGCAGTGGACTGCTGCCTTTCCTTGTTGAGCCAACTTCTCAAACTTGGCTGGCTCCCCAGATGAGAAGCCAAGATTTCTGCTGATGGTCCACAGCCAAGTTCACTTAACAATCCTTTAACCGAAAGACTTGTCCATTTGAGTCCTTTCAGGGTTCAGTGAATGGGAAAAGGGTAATGCATTGTGGGGATGATTTTGGTGTTAGATTATACTTAACTCCACCCCTCTAGTTCAGGCCTATGCGAAACCACATCTAGACTTGATGCTAGTTGTTTGCGATTTGCAGGGCTCTCCCAAAAAGAAAACAGACAATTAGAATTGTATTTGTATCAACAGGAGGGATTGTGGGTAATTCTGGTGTCACTGCTTCTGTGCACAACTCTTAAGCTGGGAGGAGGGCCAGGAATCAGGGTGATTTAAGAGACTGTGAGTGTCTTGGACTGCTGCTGGAAACTAAAGCTGGGCTGTTAATTTGCATGTAAATAAACCATTTTAGGAAGTTTGTAGCAAACACTAGAGTGGCAGTTAACAAATGCCATCTGTCAGCCTTCTAAACTCTTGATTAGAACCCAGTCCAACTACTGTGCAGGTGACTAGAGGGAACAGTAAGTTAGAAAAGGACTAAGTACTTAAAATATATTTAGTTCCTACAAGCTATTTTATACTGCTATTAAAAAGTATCTTTGTTTTTTTTTTTTTAAAGATTTTATTTATGTATAAATAAACTGAACTGGGGTACTCACCAGAGGCAGAGTGGGGAGCAGCGGGCCGGTCAGGAGAGGTCTGCCATGCCCTGGTGTGGGTCACTTCTCTGGCCCGGGATCCAGCTGGTGCTGAAGCAGCTGTGGCAAGCTTCACAGTGCTGTACTTTAACCCAGAGCACCACCAGGGAGCATCCATCTTTAGTTTTCTTATTCTGATGCTGTGTGATACTGTGTGATACAGCAGACCTACTTTTCCATCAACTACATGTTATCGCTGGAGTTATCAAACATTCAATTTACAATGAATTCAGCCTTCATGAGATGAGGAGAACTTAGACATGCTCTAGGCATCTACTCTGAAAATAAGTGCTGTGCTCATTGAAAGCCAGGACTAATGGGAGCTGTGTCTGATTCAAGCTTATCAGGCAGGGGTTTTCTGCTGGAGAGACCAGGAAGTAACTAACAAAAGTACCACAGTTGCTTCCAGCCTCCTTTTCCTCTCTAATGGCTTAGCGCTTCAGAATTAAACAAAATTTCAAGTTTGTTCTTTCCCACAATTTTTGTCTTTATTGTAAGTTTTTGTTCGTACATTTTGTCCTGCATAAGGATTCACCTGAGGCATTCTTGTGCTAAGGCAAATTATTCATTCTTGTTACTTCATTTTTCGTGTTCTGTCTAGGTAGATTAAAAACTTCCTGAATGTCCAATATACAGATGCCTTTAGCCTTGTATGTTCAGGGTAACTTCTCAGAGTCTGTTATATCCATAATTCCCCAAGTGGAATTCTTGCAGACACCACTCCGTCCGTGGGGACCTCCTAAAGTTCACTTACAAGTACTGTCCAGCATTGTCTCTTCAGGCTGCGGTCAGTGCACCATGCCATTCCTGGGTTGTTGGCAGCCTTCTCTCTCCTGCTGAATGTTCTTTGTGATTCTAGGCAGGACAGGAGAAAGACTTTGATCCATGGATATTTAAATACTGCCAAATAAGCTTGGCCTGCCACAGGTGCCTGAGGAAATTTATTCCAATCATGTAGATGTTGGGTTTGCTGCCTGAGAACTAACCTTTCTGGCACAAACTATGTGAGAAGCCCTTTGCATGAAAGCACCCTGGATCCTCAGAATGCAGTTAGTGTCACTGTCAGCTCTGACACAATTATCTGTTTCATGCATCTGGGTTTTCCAGAGATTTTCATTTTTACTGTGTGATTTGACAAGAAGGCTTTAAACTTTTGTACAGAGAGACCAGGACAGACACACATACTGATAGGCTTCACATGGAATACTGTGCCAATGATTTAACTCTTTCTGGGCGCACACCATGGGGGATTTCCCGCTGCAAGGAGAGTCATGTTGCAACGATAAACTGGCAGCTGTTTTGTCACATAAGTTGTGGGGCTAGACTGATGGATGTTTCAGGAGAGTCACACTTTGTCTCCACGAATAACTTTTATTTTACTTATGCATGAGCTGGATGCATCGAGCTACTTTGGATGTTCCTGTCGCAAGCCTTGCTCACCCCTTTCTCCCCCTTTAGCAGAGCCTAATTCTGGAGACTCCTAACTACCCACCTCAACAAAACCTTCCTAGTCCAATCGCCAGGGACAGCGCTGACAGCATATACTTCCAGGCTGTACCCCACCAACCTGTCCCAAGCAAAAGGAGTGGCATTGCTAATATGGCCTTTCCCATTCTTCTAGGCTGACAAACGGGCTCATCATAATGCACTGGAACGAAAACGTAGGGACCACATCAAAGACAGCTTTCACAGTTTGCGGGACTCAGTCCCATCACTCCAAGGAGAGAAGGTGAGTTTATTGAGAAAGCTGATTTGCTGTTTCTAACTTGAAACATAGTGTGGGAGCAGGGACACTCAGGTGGCATGGTTTCCTTAATTTGAGGGTCTTTGGAGGTTAATCACGTACCTTACCTACTCTGCTTAATCCTTAGCAAAAAATGTCAGCTACAGAAAGCGGCTCATTAAGTGGACTTTTAAATTAGTAGTATTTGTAGTAAATTACTCATTCAATGAATTGTAACCATACACTAGTAGAAAGAGTAACTCATAGTTTGGGATAATTCCAAAGGTTCTTTGGGTTAGTAATGCTCTAGTCCTCCATGAGAATTTCTTTTGTGTAGTTAAAAAAGTTAGAAGTTAGTTATTTTTCTTTTTTTTTTTTTTTTAAGATTTATTTATTTATTCATATAGAGATGGAGTACAGGCCAGAGATGCAGAGGGTGAAAGAATTCACCAGAGACAGAGAGGGGAGCAGAACAGGCAGATTGATCAAGTACACTGCTGAGGGGAGCAACGGGCGAGTCAGGAGAGGTCTGCCACACCATGTGGATCTCCTCCGGGGCAGGCGGGAATCGAACTCATACGGAAATGGCTTTAGATTCTCAGTGCTGTGCTTTAACCCGCTGCGCCACCAGGGACGGCCAAAAGTTAGTTATTTTTAATTAAACTTCCCTGGAATGTATATGAACCATACTGGACACCAGTGATAATTCCATTCCCAACAACTTTTATTTCCAAGACTCATAAAGATCATTTTAAGTTATGGGACAGAAGATTTGAGTAAAGAGACAATACAAAATGGAAGGGAAAAAATACGTAATTCACAACACGCACCCCAAACGATCCAACCCCTATACCTGCCCCACTGATAGACTTCTGCAAACTAATACTTTGGAGAGGTAGACACTCACTGCTTCTGCATTTGAAAAGTAAAGTTGGGGACTCAGAAATCCTGTGAGTTAGAATCACTCCTTAGAATTTGGAGAAAACTTGTTTGCACACTAAGTTCCACTCAACACAAAAACGTAGTTCTCTGTGCTATAAGTGGCAAATTCTCTTTTTCTGGTTCAGTGATCCATTGTTTAAAGAGTCAGTCATTTTGTTAAGAAAAATTATTGCTCTCAAGTGTGCTTTGAATGACACCTGATTGAGCTTTCATGTGGTCCTCAATTTGGTTATCCAGGATCAAATTAGGAACAGTTATGGTTCTTTATGTTTATGCCACTCTGGCAAGTCATCTGCTTAGCTAAGGTGTGACTTTCCGTGTGGTTAAAGCATGGGGTAAGTCTGACCTTTATGGAAAAAAACAAAATAAGCCATGTGAATACATAGTATTGCAAAATCAGAATTTGCCATGAGTTAGACCTATTTAGTGTGGACTTGGTTTAATTGCCTTAGTCCAAGGTACTTACCTGGAATAATAACATTCCTGGGTACAAACAACATTGTTTAAACACTATAGCAATTCTTCATGATGAGTAGAAAGACTCACTCTTCTAATCAAAGTATAAGGTGCAAAAAGAATGATCTCTTTTGCTTGTCTGAACTATTGACAGCCAGTGCTTATTGATAGACTGTGGTATCAAAGTGGTTTTAGAGAACTAAGTGAAAATGAACTGCCTTCTGCTAAGTCTTACATCAACCAGGATGGCACCATGAGTTTCCCCAGAGGTGGCCTGTGGAGCACTAGCAGAAAACTCTTCCTTAAATCCTTAAAATCACATTATTCTAAACCCTGTTGATGGTTGGAATCTGATAACCTTATAAACAGGAGAGTTTGCCATTCACTATGGCCCTTCTATTTATTCCCTCACTTCAGAAAACAAGTATTTATTGGGGTCTCCTACATGCATGCTCTGTAGATACAGCAGTGAACAAAACAGAAACAGAAGCTCTTAGTCTGGTAAGGAAAAGAAAGAAAGTGAACTAATAACAGTTCATAGCATTTCACATAAATGTTGTGGAGAAAATTATCAGGCAAAGAAAGGTTGCCGCTTTTATTAGGGCAGACAGGAAAACTCACTGGTGAGGCAACATTTGAACAGAGGAAGTAAAGAACCGTGCATCTGTCTGGTGATGAGCATTCCAGGCAGAGGGAAGGTAAGTGTAATAGTCCAGAAGCGGGAACTTGGCACCATTCCTGGACTACTCAAGAAAAACAGGCTAGAGTGCCTGGAATGAACGCATGAAGGGCTCATGGCAGGAGATGAGATTAGCGAAATAGGGACTAGAGAGAGGAATGACCAAGGGGCCAGGTTTTGCGGTGCCTGTCAACAAAGCCCCAGTGTGGGGTTTACCAGCAGCTAAGTGATTTCAGAATCTTATCCTCTGTTACAATCCAGATATTTTACACCATTTAGGAGTAGACAAAACAATTGTTAGCGCTGGTTGAACCTTAGCCCCTTCCCATCTAAATTCCACTATCTTTGTTATTTTCTGCCAGCACTGTTTCACAGGTCGCACAGGAAATCTAACAGAATACTTGTCTCAGACATGAAAGCTCACTGAGTGTTGTGCAATTTTTTTAAATGTGGTATTTGAACCACAGGAAATTGGTTCATTCTTGATTTGAATTGCAGTACTTAAGGTTGTGACACTATGTAAATAATCAGGAAATGTGAATTTGGTCAGCTTAGATCAGATCTTGAAGGGTAAACCACTGAGCATCTTTATTTTCTGGTGACATTATTTTTTGAGTTGTGTAAACCACTGAGCATCTTTATTTTCTGGTGACATTATTTTTTGAGTTGTGTGTCATACATATCGTAAACTTTTTGTATTTTACAAAGAAAAACTAATACTGATTGAATTGGGTCCAGGTTAAGAATAGGGAGTATTTATACGTAAAAATTACTTTAAATATGATACAGAAACTAGTTATCTTTTGTTTCCTGTATTTTCTAATATAACCATAAAGATGTGTTATCTTTTACTTAAGTAAAAGTGCTAGTGCTAACTAGCATTTGTACTTGCTATGTAAAATTAAACCTGCACAGCAGATCTGTGAAGTGAGTATTCTCACTACAAATGGTGCCATTACTACACATACATCTTTTGTTGCCATTGCTATAGCAGACATCATTGGGTAGCAGGCCTCTCCCAGATCATGATTCTGGATGGGGACTAGTTAGGCGGGGACTATTAGTTGCTATATGCTATTTTTTGTACCATACTGTTGGAGTAAGTAAGGATTTTTTTTAAACCTTGCTTGCATACTTAATTTGTGTCATTTTACTGCGAATTTCTCCTGGCTAGAGCCAATGATCTTGGCAGTATGTCATACCAGAGCTAGTACTAAAATACTTTCCCATGAGGTGGCATATATAGGTAACACCACTGTACAGAGTTGAGAATCATTTAAGCTTATACATGTTTCTGATTCCATGTAGCTGCTTTGAGAAATAGACTAGTACAGTCTGTTACAAACTGGCTTCTTGATAGCCGTTTGGGTTTTACCATAGTCCCAGTATTAGCAGATGGACTCATGAACTCTGAGGGTATTTTCTTTCCCTTGCAATTTTTCAGTTAGAACCTACTGGAAAAGATGACATGGAATTACAGCCACCAGTCATTCAGCTGGAGGAAGGGAGTAAAGGCAAGCACAGCCATGACCCAAGTTTTACAGAAAGACATTAACTTCCTTGAACAGAAAGACACTGTTTTTTGTTTGTTTTGTTGTTGGTTTTTGGGTTTTTTTTTTTCTGCTGTCCTATATTGGGTGCTGGCACTGAATTCACCCTGTTTTATAGATGGGTGAGAAAGACCTGGTGGCCAGCCCATTGATGTGACATTATTTTACATGACTCTATAATTCTACCCTCCTCCTGGATAAGTTAGCCCCCAACATCTGCACAGGCTCCAGTAAATGATAAGTTCCCTGTATGGAGCTGTGCAGGAATAGCCCAGAAGACAGTGGAGGAAGGGGGCTCCATCAGCACTGTAAAGAAAACATCTAGAGCCAACATGTCACACTCACTATTTAAGACCTGTGTGATGTTGTAAAGGCTTGAAAGATGGTGTTTAAGGGCCCTCTGACTTAATGAGAAAGAGGATTACATCTCACAATCATCAATAAGATAAAAATATGCTGAGTCTCACAAGAGAGGTGAAAACACCAAGCTCATGTGTCTCATTTCCATTAAAGTCTGGTTTCCTTAACAGATATTGAAACCAAATAGTTCCCTTTTATCAGTAATGATTCTTATGCTGAAGATCAGTCTTACTGTTAAACCCTCTGTACTTCTGTGAGTGAGGCACTTAACACCATTGTAATTACATACAAACTTTGTGTGGTTGCTCAGTGAATGTCTCCCCGTACCATGAAGGCAGAAAAAGCATCTTCTTTTGGTCGTATTTTCCTTCCCTAGGTGCCTGGCACACAGGGAGCAGAGTAAGTATTAACTAAAAGGTGAAGCTCCCTCTCCCTTGGTCTTGTTATACTAGGATAAGCTCATTTTGGTGGATGCCATTTAAGGTCGCCAGTAAACACTATTTCTACATCTTGGGTTACTGGAGGGATTGTCTTTTAAATGAAATGTAAACCACAGCCCTACCCATTCTCCTTCATTACTCATTAAAGTTATTAGCTGATCATACTTTAACTTGAGAAGCTACTTTCTTCTTAAAATTTCTATATTTTAAATTATTGCTCTTAGTTGGCTCAGCAACTGTAACTGTACTGATTTATTGAATTCTCCGTAAATTGTATTTGTGTACAATGAAAAGCCTCCAACATGGACTGGCATTTCATGTTCTCTTAAAAGAGGTACCCTGCTTTCCCTCCTGCTTCCTTCTCCCCCTCTTATGGAGGAGTATATACCCACCTGTATCCCAAAGACTGTCATTTTCAGTTTGAGTTCTTATCCCTTCGCAAGCTCTAACTTCAGCCTCACTGCCCAGATGGTATATCTTGGTTTCTTAGGGAAGAGACCCGCTCACAGGGCTCCACAGCCTATAGGCTCTTTCCTGCTTGAGTGCCTCCCTGCCTGGACCTCCCCTGACCGCCAGACT